GTCTCACATTCTCATGGTTAACGATTGGCTCCAACGTTTGAGTTAGAAATCTATAAGAGAGATGGCAAGGAATGGTCCAAAGTGGTCATCATCATGTCAGCCTGCTGATTTGGGTTCTACTGCAATAAACAGGTTCCTTGATCCTTCCACAAATGTCACTGCTATCTATTGTAGTCTACTTTGGGAATGAACTTCCAACAGTATATATTTTTTTCATTTGAGATCATTCACTGGAGTTCTTGTACTGTAACCTAAACCTTCTTTCTAATACATGCCATTAATCAGAGCTCTAAGAAACTTGTCCCTGGGATCAACTATTTCCTGTTCAGATTACAAGCGAAAGTGTGACACACTAACCATAAAAAACCACCCTAAAATGACTCTAACCATGATCAACAGGTTGTTCACCATACAATAATTCATAATTTACAAGCAATCATGGCTTGTAGCTTTTTCTTTTGATTGCTTTCCTTTTTCTTCTTTATTTTGTATTAGCTTCTATTAGTTTTTATCTTCCTTTAAAAATTTTTAAAATAAAATTATACATTAAAAATCTTGATTAAGCAAAGCTATAGATGATAAGATTCTACCAGTTCTTTATCTTTAATTGGGTTAAGAAGCAAGGTCATTTTAGTGTGTCTCCATGATTTTGGAAATAAACTCCCCCTTAAGAGTTGAAAAAGAGCCACTAATTTGGAATTCTTGTAAAACAAGGCGTAAAACCATCAGCTATAGTGGTTTAAATTTAACTTTTTTTAGTTGAAGTAATAAGATGTCAGTTACACAAATAATTACTACATTTCATCATTCATGCAGTCTGCAGTAAGTAGAATAAAAAATAACCGAATTACAGATTTCTAGTGCTGCTAGCATCTCTAATTCTCTTTTGCTTTTTATTTGCCATTAATTTTGAGTTCTTCCCATGATCTGAAAATTTATGCTTAGTGTACACTAAATTAGCAACTGTTTTCTGACAATCCACTGCTTCAAATTCTTTCCTTTTTTTAATGGAATTTTTATTTTTATGTACAGGTGGTCCTCGACTTACGACCACAATTGATCCCCAACATTTCTGTTGCTAAGTGAGACATTTGTTAAGTGAGTTTTGTCCCATTTTGTGACTTTTCTTGCCACAGTTGTTAAGTGAATTACTGCAGTTGATAAGTTAGCAACCTGGTTGTTAAGTGAATCTGGCTTCCCCATTGACTTCGCTTGTTAGAAGGTCGCAAAAGCGGATCACACGACCTTGGGACCCAAATATGAACCAGTTGCCAAGCATTTGAATTTTGATCACCTGATCGTGGGGATGCTGCAAAGATCATAACTATGAAAAAAGGTCATAAGTCACATTTTTCAGTGCTGTTGTAACTTTGAACGGTCACTAAAAGGACTGTCCGTATAGCCTTTTGAGTCTGGTTCTTTGTGAGCTGCTTCTACTCTTGAATTCGACAAGAAAGTTCAGCACTATATTCTGCATGGCTGGCTGAGGAATTCTGGGAGTTGAAGTCCACAAGTCTTAAAAAGTTGCCAAGTTTGGAGACCTCTGGTTAAATACCGTACCATCCTTTATTTAAAGCTGCTTTGGAGAATGGTCGCTAATGTCTTGTCAAATCTTTCATGCTGAAGGAGATCCAGTCCCCAGTCAATAGCTGTGTGGCTTTCTTGGCTTTCTGACTGAGGAATTCTGGGAGTTGAAGTCCACAAGTTACCAAGTTTGGAGAGAGACCTCTGTATTTAAACCACCTTCCATCAAACGAGAAACCGGCGACTCCCAGAGCCTCCAAATACGGGGCCGCTTCCTGCCTCTTCTCGCTCGGCCCGGCAGGGGGCGCTCCCAAAGCCGGAAGGCGCGCGCGGCGTCCCGGTTGTCCGGTAACGTTCCGGAAGCGCTGCCGGACCCAGGAGGAGCCGAAACTGCGAGGAGACGGAGGGCGGCGTGGCTTCTCCGTTGGGGACGGTGAGCACGTAAGCCCATTTCCCGAGGTCGTCTTAGGGGAGGAGGCCGGCTTGGAGCGCGGATGGGAGGATTTCCCTATTTTAGCTCAACGCGACGAAAGTCATAATGTAACCGGGCTTCGTTTATAGTCCAGTGTTTCTCAACCTTGACCATTTTAAGGCGTGTGGACTTCAACTCCCAGAATTCCACAGCCAGCAACGCTGGCTGTGGAATTCTGGGAGTTGAAGTCCACACGCCTTAAAATGGTCAAGGTTGAGAAACACTGGTTTATACAATAAAAGCAAATCCTTTTGTAAAAAATAGACTTTATTTATTTTACATTTTTGTTTCTGTTGTCCTTGCTCTTGCCTTTCCGTCCACCAGGCAGCGTTTCTCAAGCTCAGCGGCTGGAAGATGAAGTGGACCAACTTCCAGAATTCCCCGGCCAGCCTAGCTTGAGAAACGCTGCTCCAAGGTTAGTCGTGCTTGGATCCCACTGAGGAAGGGCCGCTCTGTCCCAGCAGTTAATTCGCCTCTGTCTTGCCCATACAACAGGGGTAGGCAACCTTGGCTCTTTTATGACTCGTGGACTTCAACTGCCAGAATTCAAATACAAATTCAAATGGCTATGCTGGCTCAGGAATTCTGGGAGCTGAAGTCCATGAGTCATAAAAGAGCCAAGGTTGCCTACCCCTGCCATAGAATAACAATGTAGAATAATGACAGAGTTGGAAGGGACCTTGGAGGTCTTCTAGTCCAACCCCCTGCTCAGGCAGGAAGCCCTATACCAGGGGTCCCCAACCCCAGGTCTGCAATCTGGCACCGGTCCCCGGCATGCCAGAAACCGATCCACGCAAACAAGTGAATCCCCATCCGTGGGATGCAAGGCAGCACATGAAATCATGCCCCCCTCCAGTCCATGGAAAAATCTCTCTCCACAGAACTGGCGCCTGGTGGCCAAAAGGTTGGAGGCCACTGCCCTATATCATTTCAGACAATTGGTTGTCCAATCTGTTCTTAAAAACTTCCAGTGTTGCAGCATTCAAACTTCTGGTGGCAGGTTGTTCCACTGATTAATTGTTCTAACTGTCAGGAAATTTCTCCTTAGCTCTAGGTTGCTTCTGTCCTTGATTGGTTTCCATCGGTTGCTTCTTGTCCTGCCTTCAGGTGCTTTGGAGAATAGCTTGACTCCCTCTTCTTTGGGGCAGCCCCTGAGATGTTGGAACTCTGCCCTCATGTCATCCCTAGTCCTTCTTTTCACTAGACTACACACACCCAATTCCAGCAACTGTTCTTTATATGTTTTAGGCTCCAGTCCCCTGATCATCTTTGTTGCTCTTCTCTGCACAAGATGGGAAGGGAAGGGACTTTGGCAGGTCTCCTAGTACAATCCCTTGCTCAAACAGGAGCTCCTATTCCATTCCAGACAAATGGCTGTCCAGTCTCTTCTTAAAAACATCTAGTGTTTGAGTATCACAACTTCTGGTGGACAGCAGTTCCACTGATTAATTCTTCTCACTGACAGGAAATTTCTCCTTAATTCTAGGTTGGATTTGTCTTTAGCAATCTTCCACCTGTTACTTCTTGTCCTGCTCTCAGGTGCTTTGGAGGATAAGTCGACCTCCTCTTCCCTCTGGGAGCCCCCCCAGTACCGGAAGACAGCCATCATGTCACCCATTGTAGTCCCCTTCATACTTAGTTCCTTCAACTGTTTATTGTGCGATTTAGCCTCCAAATCCCTTATCATCTTTGTTGCTCTTCTCTGCACTCTTTGTAGAGATCTCAGCATCTTTTTTGTATCATAGTGACAGAACGTGATGCAGTATTCCAATTGTGGTCTCACTAATGCATTACAGGTAGTCCTCAACTTATAACATTTCGCTTAAGTGACCATTTGAAATTACAGCGGCACTGAAAAAAGTAACTTATGAGCATTTTTCACACTTAATGACCGTGGCAGCATCCTCATGGTCATGTCATTTACTTTCGGATGCTTGACAACAGACTCACATTTATGACAGTTGCAGTGTCCCGGGGTCATGTGATCACCTTTTGCAACCTTCTGAAAAGCAAAGTCAATGGGGAAACCAGATTCACTTAACAACCAGGTTACTAATTTAATACCTGTAGTGACTCACTTAACAAATGTAGGAAGAAAAGTAGTAAAATGGGGCAAAACTTACTTAATGAATTTCTCACTTAGCAACATGGTCCTAAGTTGAGGACTACCTGTATAAAGGGGCACTATCATTTCTCATCTTGCTGCTATCCTTCTGTTGATGCAGCCTAGGATTACATTGACTTTTTGGCACCTTCAGCACATGGCTGGCTCATACTTAAGTGGCGATCTACTAGGAGACCTAGATCACTCTCACAATTACTACTATTAAGCCAGGTATCACTTATTCTATATCTGTATTTGGTTTTTCTGCCTAGCTGCAGAATGTTACTTTCCCGACCATTGAATTGCATTTTATTGGTTAGGGCCCAGTGTTCAAATCTGTCAAGATCCTTCTGAATCTTGAGTCTCTCTTCCAAAGTGTTAGCAATCCCCCCAGCTTGGTGTCATCTGCAAATCTGATGAGTTCCTTTTTTATCTCATCTAGATCATTTATGAAAATGTTGAAGAATACTGGGCCCAAGACAACCTTGAGGTACCTCACTGCATACTTCCCCCCATATAGATGTAGTTCCATTGAAGACTACACAGTAAGTATGGCTGGTCAGCCAACTGCAGATCCATCAGTGTCTACCCCACATTGTTCTGTCTTACCAAGACTTATGCTGTGGTCTACTTTGTCAAATGCCTTACTGAAGTCTAAGTAAACTGTCCACAGTGTTTTCCCTGATTCACTAATTTAGTCACTTTGTCAAAGAAGGCCACAAGGTTTGTATGGCATGATCTGTTTTTCACAAACTCATGTTGGCTTCTAGTAATAGCTTTACTTGTTTCTAAGTGTTTGCAGATGTGTTGCTTGATTATTTTTTCCAGGATTTTCCCAGGTATTGATCTTAGCCTGATTGGTATATAGTTTCCTTGATCCATTTTTTTCCTTTTTGAAGAGTGGAATCACATCAGCTCTTTTCCAGGAGCTCTGCAACACTTTGAAAGTCTTTTTGCCCCATTCACTTTTTCCAAGTGGGGTTTATCCAGGTGAGCATTGTAGTCAATTGGGGGGGGGGGAGGAGTGAGAGGGCTCCATAGGCAGCAATGATTTCCAAGCTTCTAGTTGCCTCTGTTTTTATTCTCTTGCTAAATGCTTCTTGTGAAAATGGAATGTCTCTGAATCTTTATGGTTTTCAAAAAGTTTATAATACTGTAATTATAGTAATAATATCAAAGACCCTTCAAAAACATGTGTCTCTTAATTGTTCTAAAGCTTTCTAAATACTTTGGACGAAGTTTTGATTTTTATGTAAATATTTGCTTATATAGAACTACATTTACACATACACTGTATATAGAAAATCTCACCTCCCTATTAAAATGCCAGGTTTTGAGAGGTAAAAAAAATCAGACCAAGATAAATCACTTCAGAATTTTTGCTACCTTTAATGTAAGATATGAGCTGTGTGATTCAACTGAAAAACAAACAAATCTTTTAGGGGGGGGGAATAACAACAACATGGTTGAATAAGTGTGGACATGCTCTTATAAGTAGGGATGTGGCTTTGTTTAGAATTAAGCTATCACATTCAAACTGATGTTTAATAGTAGACACTACACACCTGGCATCAATTACAGTAACTGATCAAGCCCATATAAAGTTCTAGTAAGAACTTCCTGACCTCAGTTGAGACCGATGTGACGGTAAACATCATGTGATTGCACCCGACTTACAATATCAGTTCGTCAGTTCCCATACGGTTATTAAGTTCTCCCACCATTGTTGAAACATGATGTCATGTGACTGCAACTTTTTGCTGGCTTCCCCATTGACTTTGCTCATTGGAAGTTGGCTGTGAAGGTTGTAAATAATGATCATGAGACTGCAGGATACTGTTACTGTCATGAATGTGTGCAGATTGCCACATGCCTGAATCATGATGAAACAACTGCAGGGATGCTGCATCACTTGCAACTTTAAGAATCAATTGTAAATGTCCTTTTTTCAGCAGCAACGTAAATTTGAACATCATTGAATGAGTGATTGGTAAGCGAGGGCTCTTTATATACAGTATATATATACTATAAGTCATACTAAAATTACTGAAATTGGTATGAATGTGTGTGTGTATTGTGTGTATAAAATTTATAATTGCATAATTATATAAGTATACGATATTAATAGAGTTGCAAAATATAGATACAAATACATATAACTAATTTTATATGATCTTATGCAAGATCAGATAATCACATGCCATAATCAAATGTCTATTTGCTTCACCGTCTTTTCAATTGTGTCAAGTAAAAAATTCAAATGAATAAATATTACAAATTATACATTTAAAAAATGAGTTTTTTAAAAATTTGCTTTTTTTTTTAGGATAATGGCAGGAAAAGTAAAGTGGGTGACTGACATAGAGAAATCTGTATTAATAAACAATTTTGAAAAGCGAGGATGGATCCCAGTGTCTGAAAATGAAGACTGGAACTTCTACTGGTAAGCAACATTTTTTACATATTATGGAGTATTACGTACACAATTCTTAAAGGTGATTGGTTAATGCAGATATCCTTGACTTATGACTAGTCGCTTAACAACTGTTTGAAGTCATGATGGACCTCTTCTCCAGGACTACTTATGAGTTTGATTCAAAGTTCCAATGGCCGGGGCTCCTATGTGGTCATGTAGTCACTTTATGGGTGCTCAGCAACCGTTTGTAGTGTGATTTATAATTTTTTTTGCCAGAAACTGTTTACTTCTGGTTTCCGGCAAAAAACGCCCGTTGTGGACAAAGGATTTACTTAACTATCATGGCATTACCTTTGCGACTATGTTCACTTAAAAGCCACTGCAAAAAAGATGGTAAAATCAGGTGTGGTCATTTTTAGTTTTTCAGTTTCTTTTGCTAAACATATTGAACCCATGAGCAAAAGACTTTTATTTCAACTGCAGATTTAGTCGTGTCATAATGATCAAAGATGTTTCTTGACTTACGGTACTTGCATATGAGTCAAGAGATATTGTACAGCAGTTTAATTTTTCACTGTGACTAGATTTCTTTTATGGTTGTAATTTTTTTAAGGATGAAATAAGTGGTAATAAAACACGGAATGTGTTGCTAATCTGAATCCGTGTTTGGAAGCACCCTGAGTAATACTTGTCTTTACAGGATGAGCGTACAAACCATTCGGAATGTTTTCAGTGTAGAAACTGGTTATCGCCTCTCTGATGACCAGATTGTCAATCATTTCCCTAACCATTATGAGCTGACCCGGAAGGACTTAATGGTGAAAAATATTAAAAGGTACAGAAAAGAACTGGAAAAAGAAGGCAGCCCTCTTGCGGAGAAGGATGAAAATGGAAAATATCTTTATTTAGGTGAGTTGGTTTAGATAATTAGATTTATTTGTGTATAACTTTGAATACCAGGTATGCTAAGGCTGCACCCCTACACCTGCTTAAACATTTTCTTCAGGTTTTACTAAACTTCATGGATACACTTTTATGGAGCAGCCTTTTGGCAGCAGAGGAGAAATGGTTTTCCATTGCTGCCTTTATAGTCCAGCTTAAGACTTTGGTTCCTGATGATGCCCCTTCTGGGCATGATATACTGTAGTTTTTCTTTTCCTGGAAATCAGGATGTAAGCCATGATCAAAGCCTGCTTTGTAATCCTATTTTCAGGGCAAAAGTTAGCCATAATTTGCTGGTGCGGATGTAAAAGTTTGACTTGTAATGACTTCATGAACACATCCATGCTGTTTTCCTGGCTGTTTCAGCCTGCTTTTATTGTAACTTGCACATCAGGTGTCTCATTCTTGGAAATCACAGTATCTGGCATCAGACTCTAACCTCCCTGCATTTGGGAGACAGAATAAACATATTAATATTCATATTAATATTATTTGGGCAGACTTTTTTTTAAAAAAAAAAAAGTCTGGCAGCGGCCACTCCTGCCTTTGGAATGCCTTTCTTAATTGCAATTGCACCCACTCCCTAATTACAAAATGGCCTCGGGTCACAAGTACTGCTGCAATTAGTGGGAAGCAACAGGAGCGTACAGCATGACAGTGAAACCTTGTAAACAACTGAGGAGGAGCAAGGGAGAAATAGAAAACCAAGGAGGCAATGTGTGAAAAATACTAGCACAGGTTTAGTGGGAGAAAGGACAGGGATGGCATTGCATCTGCTGAATTCCATGGGTGGCAGGGGTATAGGGTGCTGGGAATTGGCAGAAACTGATGGGCAGCTTACGGCCACAGAAAAAGTGGGGAGAGTATATAGAGATATAGAGCCGGAAGGTCAGTATCATTTGGAAGGCACCCTCAAAATCAGTTTTCACTGCTTGATGTGGTTTATAGTACTCATTTCCCTCTGCTCAAGACTAATGACTATCTAAACCAGGGGTCCCCAACCCCCGGTCCGTGGACTGGCACCGATCCGCAGCATGCCAGCAAGCGGGCCACGCAAACAAGGAAAGCTCCAAACTCGGGGTGCAGGCAGTATTCAAAACATCTCATCTATCTGCATCTTTGCAACCTCTTTTCCAAGATCCCTCCTAGCAGCTTTTTCCTTTCTCCCTTAGCAAATTTCTCATAATGTTCCCAAGGTCTATTTGGGATTTTAAAATTCTTTAAATTTCATTAAGATTGCCCCAATAAATCTCCCCTGAATTGAGTGGAATTTAAAGTTCCATGTGTGATGGATTGGAGGGAGGGAGGGAGGGAGGGAGGGAGGGAGGGAGGAAGGAAGGAAGGAAGGAAGGATAGAATAAAAAATTATTGGAAAGTCCTTGCAGTATCTGAGAGGGTAAGCACTTGGTTTTGCCATCAGGTTATGGGACTTCATGGAAGCATGGATCTTATTAAATGGTCGGTAGAAGCTGGCTACGCTCTTCCCTGTTTTTTTGTTATCATAGTTTTAAATTGTTTTGACAAGATAAATTATGATGATTCTTTAGCTTTTATTTTAACTCTGTATGCCGCTAGGAGTCGCATGCAAGTGAGATGGGTGGCTATATAAATTCATTCAATCACACTCAGTGGCAACTGACTAATTTGGTACCACCTATTCCTAAGATTGTTCCCTTTTTAGCACAGAATCATAGAATCTGATTGAATAATATTTTCATACTTTGAATTCTTTAAAGAAAGGTAATAAGTGTTCATTAGAATTCCTCATCATAGCTATATCAGTGAAGGACAAAATATGCAAAATTTTATTCATATTCTTAGATTCATAGATTTTTGTGAGGCCTTTAAGATGAAAAAAAAGAATGATTCTCATACATTTTATCTGTTAATGGAATTAAACTGAGTTATCTCCACTTCTGTTTATTTTTATTTTAAAATGGAAAGTTAGAGAGAGCTCTAATGCTCACTGTCATCCTATCTTAAATTAAAAAGAATGAAATGGGTAATAATTGAAGAGAGGGCTTATCCTCTATCATTTGCTATTTGACTTAATATGCTAATTTAAATTCTCTTGTGTCCCTTTTAGACTTTGTTCCTGTCACCTTTATGCTTCCAGCTGATTATAATTTATTTGTTGAAGAATTCCGAAAAAACCCTTCCAGTACATGGATTATGAAACCTTGTGGAAAAGCTCAAGGGAAAGGAATTTTTCTCATCAATAAGCTTTCCCAAATTAAAAAATGGTCTCGGGACAGCAAAACATCTACGTAAGTTTCTTAGGAAAAAAAATTCTTTTTCTTTGATATTGTGTCTCAGTGTGCTATATTTGATTAAACATGTCCTATTCCAGATTTAGTCTTCATTAGAAACTAATTTGTAACTTCTTTAAAAAGCTGATTTAAGTTTTACGGTGAAATTTTGTAGACACTTTTATATGTTAAGCTTAAAATAAATTTACACTTTACACTATTAGATAAGATAGATAACTTTTATTGTCACTTTATATATATATACCCATACCCGTACACGCAAAAAAGTCTTGAGAATTAACAAGCTTGATACTATATGGTACAAAGCTATTACAGTTTCTAGTTGTTCTGCTTTGTTACCCAGAAGGTAACAAAGAAAACCGGTCATGGAGAGGATGTGTAGCGTCCCTGACAATACTGTGGACCCTGGTCAAGCATCGCTTATATGCTATGTCCTGGATAGAAGGAAGTGAACTAATCTTTCCGCCGTCTTTACCACTCTCTGCATAGGCTTCCTGTCTGAAACAGTAGTAACTTCCAAACCTCACAGTAATACAATATGGCAGGATGCTTTCAATCGTCCCTCTATAGAAAGTGATAAGAAAGAAGATTTGCTCTTCTCATACGACGCAGCCTCTGCTGTGATTGCTTCACCAGGGTCTCGCTATTGAGCGACCAAGTTAACCTGCTCGTAGGGTTGCCAGGTCTGCTTCCAAAAAATAGCGGATAAGCAGGAGGGGGGGTTTAAGTAGTAAAAAAAAGTAGACTGTACAGCTTTAGATTACGTACCATTTCATCATAAAGCTTTTGAATAAAAAAAGTGTCCACTATTTTGTGAAAAAAAATAGTGAACATAATGTGAAAAAAGTGGACTGTCCACTCAAATAGTGGACACCTGGCAACCCTACCTGCTTGTCAGCTGCATACTCAGAAACTTGATACTATCAACCACATCCACCGTTCAATTGTTAAACACAGAGGTGTATGGTTGTGACTGCCTTTTCTGAAATCAATCTCTTTTCTCCCCCACCCCCTTACATTTAAAACCAGGCTGTTTTTATTACATCAGTTCATCAAACCCTCTACCTCTTCCTGGTTATCGCCCTCATTATCATCCTGAATAAGGCCGACCCACTGTTCTGTCATCCGCATATTTCACAATATGGTTGGTAACAAACCTTGCACAACAGTCATGGGTCAGCAGGATGAACAACAGTGGACTTAGGACACGGCCCTGAGGAGAACCTGTGCTCAAGAACATGGTGTTAGAAATACTAGTCTCAACTTGCACATACTGGGGCCTATCAGTGAGAAAATCAAGAACCCAATTGCACAAAGGAGTATTGAAGCCTAAAAGGCCCAGTTTTTCTACTAAAGGAACGATCATATTAAATGCCAAACTAAAGTCAACAAACATTATTTGCACATGAGTGTTTCTTTCCTCTAAGTGCGCCAAGCTCAGATGGAGAACGGAGGAAATAGCATCCTCTGTGGAACGATTTGGATGATAAGCAAACTGAAGTGAGTCAAACGCAGGAGGGAGGCTGGAGACAATAAAGTCCTTTATCAGCCTTTCAAAACATTTCATAATGATGGACGTAAGTGAACAGAGATGATAATCATCTCTGATTGAAGACTTTTTTGCCACTGACAAAATAATAGCAATCTTAAAACAATGGCACCACTGCCTGCTGCAATG